GGAGGTTTAGGTTGGACATGAGGGAAAACTTTACAGAAAGGTTGTCAAGCACTGGAACAGGCTGCCCAGGGAAGTGGTGGAGTCACCATCCCTGGAGGTGTTCAAAAAACATGTAGATGTGGCACTTTGGGACATAGTTTAGTGGGCATGGTGGTGTTGGGTTAACGGTTGGACTTGATGATCTCAAAGGTCCAACCTAATGATTCTATGATTAAATATTAATCTTGCATAGCAGGTCACGCTAACTGCCATCCAAAGTCACTGTCGTTCCTGTTATGTCAAACAAATATGCATATTAGATCCAAGCATGAGTAAAAAGAGGTGATGGACTTGCTTAATAAATAATAATTTTTGAGAGACAACGCCGAGAAATTACTATTTTTAAACTCGCTTCTCAGCCCGTATGAGCAGCAAGAACTCTGAGAGTAATCTTATATGGCTCCCTTGTCTTTCCCCTGCTCTGTTCAAAAGAAATCAGTGATGCTTGTCACAAGACTTTCTTGTTACTGATGTCAGGAGCTTCCTAATCTCATTTGGAAGGTCCAGGTCAAGGAGAAGATTGGTTCTTCGTTGTTGTGTATTTGGTGCATTTCTTCAGTCCTCTGTATGTGGGGAGGCAGCGTAACCTTCTGTTGGGGTATTGACTGATGCTGTGCTGTTGTTTTAAAGGTCATTCCAGTAATTTTGTGTTTGTTGTTTAAAAAAAGCCCAAACAAACCAAACAATGAAAAACAACAACAAACCCCCCAGAAACCCAAACAAACTTTTAAATTATGCATGTGACATATTAAAGAAATTGCTGTTCTCTGCCTGTTCTTTTAGGGAAACAAATGTTTGCTTTGCTGTCCCAGCAGCCGTGAGAGAACTGAGTGGGGCCTGTCCAAGGGTTGGACTCTGGAATTTCCTCTTGACTAACTCTCCTGAAGTTCCTGTTCAAGTGGTTTTGGAAATTTTTACGTTGCTTGGGTGCTTTGTTTTTAAGAGACAGTGACACCCACAAAACTAGAGGGAGGTGTCACAAGAAAAAAAAAAAAAAACCAAACTGGGAGAGAATGAAGAAGAGATGGTGGCAGCATGAGGGAAATCAGTGGCTTTGAATTGAAAATCAGCTTATTCAGAGCAGCATCTTAAATCTTACTTCTGTAAAAAGATGAGTGTTGGTTTATAAAATGGCTTGAGATCTGTAAGCAAGGGGAGATCTGAGGAAAGACGTGAACTTTTTAGATACAGCGTTCCAATGATGAAGTGTTAATGATAATTAAGCTAAAATCACTAAAAATGATGGTCTTTGTTTTTCTTTTGTCTATCTTTTTCTTACCCCAACGCTGTACCAAATCCTTTCTGCTCCTGATGCTTCGGGGAACAGTAGGACCCAACCAAAGGTAAGGGCTTTTATTGCACGTTGAATCAGTGTGTGAAAATTGTCCTATCACTTATTCAGTCTTGGGTTATCCAAATATTAAAAGCATTTTGAAAAACAGCTCTGTAGTTGATCAGCTGTTGAGTAAGAAACTCAAAGCATCTCCTTGCTGGAGAAGAGCACTGTACAGCCTGTGCCAAAAAATGAGTCACAGGAACAAATGAGAACATCCATACTCAGCATTACAGACTGTGAATGGAAGACAACTTGTTATTTGTGGGCTTTTAAAAGCATTTTCTGGTATTTGCGTTAAAGCAAACTCATTTTGTTGTTATGGCTTATGATCCTGTGACTCTGTGTTTAGTATGCAGATATCTATCTCTATCCTAGCACATCAGGATTCAGCTTTATTGGTATGGCGACATAGCCAACGATGTTTTATTAAATGCTCTGAAGGTGTGGGATGTTAAAATAATATGCTTAATTGTACAATAAATTCAAAGAACAAAAACCCCTTGATTTAAATAGGCTGTTTCCTCAATTAGAGGATGTAAACAAACCAGCTTTATCTTTTGGTGCTGGGACATTAATTTAATATAGGGAAAAAAAGGCAGTGTATTTTCGAAGATAAGTTATTTAAATTTCAAGGATTTTTCTATACTAATCGTTTTCATAAATGTAGGTAGTAAGTTTGGGTGTGTTCATAGTATGGATTTTTGACTTATGCTTAATTTTTCTAATGATTTCAGTTAGTATGAATATTTCAGGAAGATTTGCTTTATTGCTCCATGAGTCCTTAAATGATTTTTCAGATTCCATGCTATGATCTGTTAGGAAGTGCTATAACTGAGGTAATTCACTACAGACTCAGTATTTCTTGTTAGGGTTTTCTGGTTATTAATATAGATATGATGCAACGTATTTTGTTCCTGCAGTCTTTACTAGTTAAGAAATGCGGAGTTTGCTGATGCAGATGCTAGTTCGTGGTTAGTGCCTGACAACAGGATTCACTAAAATGGAACACGAAAACGTGTTAACAGATAAAAAGAAGTGTCCAGAAATAATGGGGTGAGGGTTCAGAAGGTGGATGTGAGACGCTGGCGTGGGGTGCTTGCTCTGCCAGCGTGATCTGAAATGATGCAAACGTCAGCTATAGCAATGCAGATCGTCTAAAGGGGAAAGAGCAGCCTTCGCTAAGCTTGGAGGAGAAATACACAGCCAAAGAGCAACACAGGCACTTCCCTTTTCCTGTATCCTACAGAGAAAATTTTGCCCATGTGAATGTAGGGCAGATATTACCCTGATTTTTTTTTTTTTTTTTTCCCCTCGTGAATGCATACCCAGGGGAGTTGTTTTTGCAAACGTGAGTCCCAAGCTATGCACTGTCTTACTGGAGGTCAGCTTTCATGGTGAAAGGAGCCTGTGGACCTTTAAATGGATTTACCACAAAACTGAAACTTGCCTATTTAAAAATATTATAGTACTACTCTTCTCGTGATAAAACTGGTTTGTCCTATATTGTTCTTTACAAGTATTAGACTTGGGTGACAACTGCTTCTGTTTGTCAGCAGTATATAAATACATACAGCTCTTGTACGGAAAGAAGTTCCTACCCTAAGGCGTGTTTTTAATTTATGCAGACAAGAGACATGGGGAGATGGTCGGCAGAAACAGCCAGGGGACATCTGTCAGTTTGCAAAGTAGGAAGTCTTGTGAAAAAACGAACTGCAAGGATGGGTTTGAAGGGAGATAAGGAGAGCGCCTTGACATCCACTCAGTCGCCACATGGAGAGCTTCTGGAGAGCCTGGAATAGGATCACACAGGAGAAAGGAAGAAATAAAACCAAGGAACAAATAAAAACAAGGAAAAGGCTTGCGCATAGGGAGATGAGGTGTTTGGGCTTGAAACTCACAGAAAATGGGGACGTGTTTTATGTTCAGAATGGCCCTGAGGAGCGTGATGTTAGCCGACATAATACAGTGCTGTCAAAGTGTGGGTAACGTGTTTGATTTGGCCACAGCTTTTGTAAGGTGTCCTCCTGGTTGTTTTCCTACAGGTGTTTGCTTACGATCACTGCTTTTGGTCTATGGATGAATCTGTCAAAGAAAAATATGCAGGTAATACTTACTGCAGCTTTGTGCTTGTTGTCTCCAAGTGCGAATGATCCAATTAAAATACAGTATTTGCTAAAGGGCACAGACCATATGGTATGAAGTACCTTCCCCTGCGTGACTACTCGTCGAAAGAAAAAGGAAAATCTACCATCAATCCTGTTTCTCTTCTCTAAAGGTGATAACAGCAATAGGCATTGCTGCCCACTTGCAGTGCAGGAAATTGAGAAAGCCATCTCAGTAATGGGTTATTCATATTTACAGCTTTATTTAAAATGCTGTTCCAAGTCCATCCTTTTAAAAGCATCAAATCTGTTTCTTTTCAGGATTTGAGGGGCATTGCTATGTGTAATTTCATGTTTCGCAGTGCTGATGGGAGTTTGGCATCATATTAGAACTTAATAATGGAGTATTAAAGAAAGCCTAATTTCATATAGGGGTATGTGAATTCATATGGTCTGGTGAGAATGTGTAGTGTATTTAATTGAAAGATTTCTGTGTATTATTATGACATTTTGCCAAATAGTTATGGGAAGATATGAAATATATTTTATACGGGCTGAGAGACTTGGGGTTGTTCAGCCTGGAGAAGAGAAGGCTCCGGGGAGACCTTAGAGCGGCCTGTCAGGGCTGAAAGGGGCTGCAGGAGAGGTGGGGAGGGACTCTGGATCAGGGAGGGGAGAGATAGGATGAGGGTACCAGTATTGAACTGAAAGAGGGGAGATTTACATTAGATGTAAGGAAGAAATTCTTCCCTGTGAGGGTGGTGAGGCACTGGCCCAGGTTGCCCAGAGGGGCTGTGGCTGCCCCCTCCCTGGCAGCGCTCAAGGCCAGGCTGGATGGGGCTGGGAGCAACCTGGTCTGGTGGGAGGTGTCCCTGCCCAGGGCAGGGGGTTGGAACTGGATGAGCCTTAAGGTCCCTTCCAGCCCAAACCATTCTGTGATTCTATGATATTTGAACTCACCACTCTTGTGATCTATTCCTTTCATACTTGTTAGCTTTTAAAATTGGGAATCGTGTTTAAATTTATTTTTAAAGAAAAATCACAAGAAAAATCAAAAATGCATATGCTTCTAGATCTTAATTTCTTTAACAAATAACTAATGAATAGTAATTTAGTGAGGAACTGAGAAAAACGTGACGCTTTCAGCCATAAAAATTACATAGGAAGGAAAATTTTTTGTTTCTCAGACTAATGGAGGCGCCCATGTCACTTACCTTACGGTCTGTTATACTCTGGAAGTGTTTGGTTCAAACCCATTCTGCTGTGCTTAGCTAGGCAGAGCTATCAGTCATTTTGAGGGGGAATTTTGCCTGCATGAAATTCTGAGTGGACTTGGATGTAAAAATATGGACTTCAGTCAATCAGAGAAAGGTAGAGGTTTCAGGGTCATTAACATATTTGAGTGGACTTCTCAGTCCATAAAGTTCTGCCATGTCTTGTTCAGACTTTAGTTCTGCTTGAAAAAGAAATTCTGAAAATAGGGGTTTCGTTTAAATAGATACTGCCCGAATATATTAAGCATTTCTTTCTCCACTCACAAAAGGAACTGAAAAACTTTTCGACGGATTTAATTCACTTACAAAAGAAGTGATATGCCCTGTGTTTTGCTAAGGCATGTGTTGTACTGTCATAATCTCCCACATAGTTGTGGTTCCTTCCCCACAAAAATCTCCTCGTGGTACTGTTTACTGTCTTCTATAGACACAGTTAAATTATCTAGCGCTCTACTAATTGCCCTAGATTAGAATCGATTGACAGTTATTAAAATGTACAGGTTGAGTGTATTTGGAGGTGGTGTCATTCACCAGCGGATTAAATTCTGCAGTTGGTAGTAGATTTTCTGCTGATAGAACTTCTGAGTATGAACATCGATAGGATGTTGTTTTAAGCACGTACAGGTATATGCATAATAATCACAGCTTCTGATTTTTACAGTAGCCTAAATCTGGAGCATGTCTGCTGGCTGATGGTCTTGCTTTTGTAGAGGGAGCAACTACTGCATGCTAAATATGTTATTTGGGCAAAGCCAGCAGGAAAACACTTAACTGTTCGCTTTTACATAATTATTGAAGGATCCAAATCGAGGGGCAGGAGGAACCTGATGCTTTGTTGCAATGTTGGCTTGTGTGTTTTCTTTCTTAGGTCAAGATGTTGTTTTCAAGTGCCTTGGAGAAAATATCCTTCAGAATGCCTTTGAAGGTTATAATGCTTGCATCTTTGCCTACGGGCAAACTGGTAAGTCCCTTCTGGGTGTAAGTGCAAAATACTGTTGACTGGAGACTCTTTTCATGGCTGTTGTGACATTGTTTCGGGAGAAATGCCTTGTAATGGAGATAAGTGGTTTGTAACGTTAGATACGAGGTGGACAGGATGAGGAACAGGATTGTGTCTGTTGCTGCTGGCTACCCCTATTTTGCACACCTTAGATTATAATCTCTGGAATGATTGTGATTGTCCTTGAGTTCAGTGCATCGTTCATATTTTCTGCCTCTGCAGTTAGAATAATCCTTAATTGTCGTTTTAAATGTAATATGCAAAAATGAATACGCTTGTGCAACTGATTTTTCTCATCATGGCGCATATGTGGATCTTAGTGGGTTGTATTCTGCAGCATCTATCTACCTGAAAAAGCCTTCTCTGTCAGTTTGAACTACATTTCTTTTGGTTTTCCCTTTAATTAAATAGTCTTTAGCTAAATCATGCTTTGGATGCTTTGAAATAGAAAACCACACAACTATCTTTCACTGAAATGCAAATTCTTTTGTTTACCTCTTCCCTGTTACTTCCTTTCCATGTTCCACACGGCGAGAAATTTTGTTGCACGTACGCTAACCGTAGATTCAATCACACAGGATCTGGAAAATCATACACGATGATGGGTACTGCTGACCAGCCTGGATTAATCCCTAGACTTTGCAGTGGACTCTTCGAAAGAGCACAGAAAGAGGAAAATGAAGAGCAGAGTTTCAAAGTGGAAGTATCCTACATGGAGATATACAATGAGAAAGTCAGAGATCTTCTTGACCCAAAAGGGTAAGTAATTTGTGTGTCAACAGCACTGGAATATGTTGTCATACACTCTTCCTTTACATAACCAGTTTGCCTTAATAGATCCTATCTAAGGCGTTCGTGTAGGATGGCTTTTGCTTCTTCCTGATCTCGGTGTCCTTTCATTTTAAATCAAAATGAAGTAGTAAGACTAAAAGCTTGGAGTAAACTCACCCTAATGCTGGCTTTTATGAAGTGACAAAAATGTCCATGTCAGCATTTTACATGTAGACATAAGGTTTTTTTGTTTGCGTTATAGTCCTTGTTCTGTGCTTTATTACGGTATTTGAGATCTGTCAGTGAGAAATTGATTTTCTGTAAATGTTGTCTTAAGTCAGTCATGTGCTCATAAATAACTTTTTTTTTTTCCCAACCAGAAGCCGTCAGTCGTTAAAAGTTAGAGAACACAGTGTTTACGGTCCTTACGTAGATGGCCTATCCAAACTAGCTGTTGCTAGCTACAAGGTAAGGATCAGTTTTATGAAGGGCTTGTGTTGACGTGCTAAACACTCAGGTACTCTCCCTTAAGCAGGACAAAATTATTAAGCTACTCCTAATTAGTGGTCAATGGCTCAAAGTCCAGATGGAAAACTGTGACAAGTAGTGTCCCTCAGGGGTCCATACTGGGACCAGTGCTGTTTAATATTTTCATTAGTGATACTGACAGTGGCATTGAGTGCACCCTCAGCAAGTTTGCTGGTGACACCAAGCCGGGTGGTGCAGTCGATACGCCAGAGGGACGGGAGGCCATCC